GCGTACTAATGTAAACACAGTGTAAACACCCCGTATTTAGGGGGGGCTATATGTAATGAATTGACCAGGCTATCCCCCACAGGGGCTGCACTCCGTTGAACCCCCTATCCTCAGGGGCTGCACTCCCTTGACCCACCTATCCCCCCAGGGGCTGCACTCCCTTGACCCACCTATCCCCCTCCAAACCTGCACTCAGTTGACCCGCCTATCCCCCCAACCCCAAAAGTGCACTCAGTTGACCCAGCCATCCAGGCCGTTTATACTACTTAGATAAAATAAAATAATTATAAAATCTAGAGACAAGACAGAAGAATGAAGGTTGGCAAACTATGAAATCACATCAGGAGAACTGAATTTTATGAATGAAACTTTTAAAACGTTACTTGTAAGTTGTATATGTTAGATATGTGTATTCTAACTGGCAGTGCGCTTCAAAAGGGGGGGGGGTCGTCTTGAACATAGAACCTTACGTTTGAACGGTAAGGGCTAGGGCTTTCGTATTTCAAATATGTACTGTACAGCAGGAAATTAACTCGCGGAGTTAATTTTCGCTATATTCGCGGAAAATGAAATTCCGCGAATTCAACATACAGTGAATAATTCTTAAAAAGTTTTATAAGAATAAATTGAAATTTTATTATTTTCTGTGATTAGATGTAGACTGTCTTTATAATTATGCGAGTGTCTGGGTCAATTACAAACACGTAGTTGTTGCTGTTTTTAAAGCTTATTAATTGTTTAATTAATTTCTATAGCTAACGATTAATTTTGCCATCTAGTACACGTGCGATGTAATTATTTAATAAAACATGTTTGTTTAATTTCACCCGTGCATATCACTCGGTCATTACCATTAATCAAGGTATTTACTTAGTAAACAGGGTAACGACAATTAATTAATTTCAATTATATGATTAAAAGTTCAACATTCTTACTACGCTATAATTTTTTTTTCTGATTTGGACCCGGAAATAAAAAAAAAATTAAATGCATAGCATTATTTTGACTTCAAATCGGGATCAGTCCGGTGTTTCGTTATTATTCAATCGGGATCAAAATCGACACAATATATAGACTTTACTTTTCTGTCTGATATGCGCGATATACATTACAGACTTTAATATTATACTACAGAGACGAGAAATAGCAGTTCACACAATATATACCCACAGAAAAATGCTTGCAAGTACTGTTTAAGAAATTTAAGGTTTTTCCTTTTCCGCGAATTCAAACTACCGCGATTTGCTAAAAATTGAGCAAATCGCGATCTTTTCCGACCGCTATTTTAACCTGCTATACAGTAATCCTTGTGAAAAGAACTTTTATTGGACACAAAGAACTTTGACCCTTTGACCTAGACCTTGGAGAACACATGTGTACATCTTAACCTTTTTTCTGTTTCGTTTCTATGACAACTGTGAGCGACTCATTACAATTATTTTAAAAGTAAAAATCACTTTGACACATTGCAAGGAATTAACATTGAAAGTTTCAAAACGATTGCTTGAGTAGTTATTGAGAAAATCGAAATTAAAGAATTTTAACATTCCCCTGGTTTCCATGGCAATAATCGATTATTTGAAAATTTTAAATGCAAAGCGCACAACTACAGATACTAATCATTAAAATAAAAAGAGTTTCATGACGAACATTTAAGGGACCAGAGAGAACACTCTCGGATAAAATTCGTCGCTTTTTACAGGTTTCCATGGCAACGGTAGACATATTGGAACTGAACGACCTCACTGCACAACTACAACCAGTGATCGTCCTTTGAGGAAAGTTTCAGGAAGATTGCCCCAGCCATCTCCGAGAAACAGCCTGGATAAAAAAAACATGCGTACAATATCAATATGTCGTCCCCGACTTCGTTCGGGGCGACATAATAAGAAACAGAGTAAAAACAATATGTTCCCCAACTTCGTTTGGGGAACATAATAACGGGTAGAAAATCTACCCACAAGTAAAATACACGAGGGACAGACACGCTTTTCCTCTCGTTCAAAATCGATTAAAACTGCATTTAAAATAATAAATACATAACGTAACAAGGTAAATAATGTAAAAATGATTGATTTTTTAAATTTCTGTGCACACGGTTTTGGTACGGTGGTATATTTAGGACACGCAATAATTTTTTTTTAATACGAGAAAAAAAATTATCTTGTGAAAACGAGATATTATCTTGTGAAAACGAGATATTATCTTGTGAAAACGAGATATTATCTTGTGAAAAGGAGATATTATCTTGTGAAAACGACATATTATCTTGTGAAAAGGAGATATTATCTTGTGAAAACGACATAATATCTTGTGAAAACGAGATATTATCTTGTGAAAACGAGATATTATCTTGTGAAAACGAGATATTATCTTGTGAAAACGAGATATTATCTTGTGAAAACGAGATAATATCTTGTGAAAACGAGATATTATCTTGTGAAAACGAGATATTATCTTGTGAAAATGAGATATTATCTTGTGAAAACGACTTATTTTTTCGGCTTTAAAATATGTTACATACATAAGACTTCCTTATTTAGTTTTTTGCTATTCTTTGTCAAGTACTAGTAGTCATATGGATGAAGAGTATACTAGAGCTAGATGATACATGTATCATTAAAGAATGCTTGAAATTACATACAAATGTTCCATAATACAATTTTTTAGGAACATTCCTTCAACGTTACCGGATGCTATTAAAGCGAAAAATGTACATGTATATTGTATTAATTCTTACATTTAAAAATTTCCGATCGTACTTCATTCAAATAAAATGGGACTCTTAAATGGTTTAAATTATTTCTAGTACTATCATTTTATGGTAATTATCATTCGGTATCTCTACTTTAATTCCATTTTTATATAAACGCCTGATTTGATAAGATATTGAAAAGTCGGAAGTGCCACTTACGACTTAACAACTAGTTGTTTTATTGTGTAATCTTTCAGCAATAATGTCGTAAATACTTAAAGGTCATATCATTCTGAGAAATATCTACTTGTATTAATTATTTTCATGTATTTTAAAATTGGATTAAAAATGTACTTTCTTGGGCCCTAAAACGAAAGTAAAACATTCTTAAACTTTATGTTCATAGTCTCGCTCGAATATATTCTATGAAAAACAGTTTTTACTGCCTCCTGTAAAGTACCGAAATTCTATATACGACCTTTCATTTCCACGGCGTCGATATGTCGTTTTCACAAGATAATATCTCGTTTTCACAAAATAATATCTCGTTTTCACAAGATATTATGTCGTTTTCACAAGATAATATCTCGTTTTCACAAGATAATATCTCGTTTTCACAAGATAATATCTCGTTTTCACAAGATAATATCTCGTTTTCACAAGATATTATCTCGTTTTCACAAGATAATATCTCGTTTTCACAAGATAATATCTCGTTTTCACAAGATATTATGTCGTTTTCACAAGATAATATCTCGTTTTCACAAGATAATATCTCGTTTTCACAAGATAATAAGTCGTTTTCACAAGATATTATGTCGTTTTCACAAGATAATATCTCGTTTTCACAAGATAATATCTCGTTTTCACAAGATAATATCTCGTTTTCACAAGATATTATGTCGTTTTCACAAGATAATATCTCGTTTTCACAAGATATTTTCTCGTTTTCACAAGATAATATCTCGTTTTCACAAGATATTATGTCGTTTTCACAAGATAATATCTCGTTTTCACAAGATAATTATGTCGTTTTCACAAGATAATTATGTTGTTTTCACAAAATAATTTTTTTTCTCGTATAAAAAAAAATTATTGCGTGTCCTAAATATACCACCGTATTTTGGCAATATTTTTCAGAAAACAATACTTTTTTTTAAGTTCCTCTAAGGTGATCTTTCATTAACTTAACGAATCAAGACCAGTAAGAATTATCAACTACAGTAACAATCAATGTGGTCAAACATTTGTGATGATCTACACTTTTTTTCAGAACAAATTAAGAAATCAACAAATCTCGTTAATAAACTAGTATATATATGATTCTCTACCTTATGCGGACCTCCAGACTTCTACTCGATGTAATGTGTCTAAACCTTAAGGAAGTTGTAGGAAATGTGGCACAATTGGAATTTAGTTTGGGTAACATTTGTCTGTTATTTTATTAATTTGTACTTGTTTTCATTATTCTTAAACTGATTATAAGTTTTTAATGACAGTTAAATCCCCAGTTTTTCAAGAGACACAACTGCTTTTTATTATTAATTCCTTCTTTCATTTTCCTGATTTCTGAAGCACTGGAATCATTAGCATGTGAAATTATATTTCCTTTATTACATTCAGATGCAAGATGAAATCGCAAGCACTTATAATTGGCATATTTTGACGACTTGATTCATATATACATGCTAATGTTTGCACTTGGAGCCAATGTGCTCTGAAGTCTTCATAACAGTGAGGATTGTGGGAAATCATTAGAAAGAGAGATAACCATATCTCCCAAAAGGCAGTCTCTAGCAGTCAGTTCACTCATAAATCTGTTGTTTATTACTAGGGTAATATTTAATTAAGTAAAAACAAATAGCAGTATAAGTTAACATATATTTATGACCATTGAACGAATGAAATCAAAAAAGTTCTTCTAGATCCGACATTTCCTATAAATCATTTTTAGATTTATTCAGTGAAACTAAATAATAATTTTATATTTATATTCTGTTGATTATAATCTTTGCCATGAAAAACATAATTGACTTCAAAATTCAAAAATCCCTAGTTATATACGAGGAAGGAGGGATGTTTTACATAGGATATAAATTATTGATTAACAAAATATAAATAGAATGGTGATACACTTAAATTATTAACTTCCACACTACACCATAAAATTTCATATTATATAACTCAAAACACGTTATTTGTAATATTATTATGTTCATGTATCATCTAAACACATTCAGATGTTGATCTTTCATTCAAACAGCTTTATTAGCTTTACTTTTCCAGATACACGTTCAGCAACGAACAAATTATCATTGCTGTCTGTGCTGAGATCATATGGATCTTGAAATTCATTGTTTGCAATGTGCAAGGTAAAATGTCCGTTCTCATCAATGATATGTATAATATGATTTATACGGTCAGCAATCAATATGTGACACATGCTGGTTGTTGTTACTCCACTTGGAGTAAATATTTCATATCTTTTTGACTTGGGATTTCCATCATATATAAATCTAAGCTTGCCAGTTTTATGTACAACCACTACCTTATTAAAATCGTCGTCACTTACAATAATATCTAAATTTTTGTTTTCTTCAATGCAGAGTGGCTTAGCGTATAAAGCTTTTCCTACAGCATCGTATTGTATTTCTTGTTTGACGGTAGATCCAGAAAAACGGACTACTTTACTTGGCGAATCCTTTCTTTCTAAAGATTTCATAGAAACCAGAAATTCACCCGTTGAGCAAGAGCATATACCCAGTGGTGTCCACTCCTGGGTTGATGTAAGGCATTCTATCTCGTTACTCTTCCTTATTTTTATACATTTAGTCTTCCTTTCAGCATAGACTAAATATCCTTCTTTGGTGACTGCTTGATCACTTAATTCTGATGTTGGAATCTCCTCTAGTGTATTCTCATCTGTGTTCATGAGTTTTGTGAAAGCAGTGTTACCCCAGACATAGAATTGGTTTGTGTTTGGAATACAGTTTACTCTGTAAGTTTCTCCATAACCAGTATTTACAGTTTTTATTACTTTAGGTTTGGCAGCAAATTTCCTGATTGGTAAGTGTTGAACAGTTTTCAAGACACGGGCTGGTATGTCAGTTTTGATAGACCGTGGTAAGACTCCAATCAGTTCACATATTTTTTGTTCTGTAAGTTCATTTAGATTAAATTGCAGCACTGTTAGATTATACCTGGCTGGAACATTTCTAAAGTATTCATTTTTTGAATTGTAATAGATAAGTTTGGAAGAATCTTTGGAAGATAAAACTGACTCATTTTCATTGATAGCTGACTGAATTAAAGTCTGTCGTGACTGAAATTCCGATTTTAGTGCCGAGAGAAATTCAGTATCTCCTCTTGCAACGTCTTTCGATTCTTCCAAATATCTTTTGATAACTTTATCCAACAGATTGTGACATCTCTCCCCAAATTCAGTAATACCTTGCTGTCTTTCTCCATGTTTTTGGACAACATTTGATAACATCGAATCTATTTCAATGATAATTGTTTCATATACAGGTGCGACGTAAGTTTCAAGTTCATTTTTGTCTTCATAAATGATCTTTTTTCTCGAGCTGTATATATCAGAAATATGTTGCAGATTGTGATTGTCATGAAATCCAAGTGATGAACATTTGTGACAAATTGGAGAACCACAAGTTTGACAGAATGTGTCACATAATTGCTCATGATGACGACTGCACTGAGGAGGAATAATATCAAATTTTGTTAATTCGAAAGTGAGGACTTCATGTTTAACATTGGGGTTAGAAACCATATGAGGGCCTACACAATCTTTACAGAGATTAACATGACAGTTTTTGCAAATAATTTCTGCTGCTGCTTTCCTGTGTTTTCCTAGACAAAGTTGACATCGTCTAATGTCTTGTGCTTTAACTGTGGAAACTTCTGGTGTCGCCATGTGGGTTTTAATAGGAGTTGAGGTCTATGATGTCATGCTATAAATAAATGCTATTCGTATAGATATAAATGAATTTATTTTCATAATATAAAAGTATGCACGAGCTTACAACGAATTACAAAATTTGAAATGTGTAGCCCCAAGGTTCAAGGGTTCATGTAAGGTGGGGCTCTAATGCTTAGGAAGTGAAAATGAATCTTTTGATCATCTTCTGATTTGCCTCTGGGTATTAATTAATTAAACAAACTACATGTAAATGTACAGTAATGATGAAAAGAGGTGCCTATTTCAAAATTGTAAATTTTATGGCCATATTGGTTTAAAACGTGAACATGATGTAATTGTTGCAAATTTGTTACGTGAAACTCATGTTACCTATAAGGTCAATGGACATCTTGCTCAGGTTTACATCAATTACTTTTTTTTTGTTATGATACTTTTTATTGAGAAAGCTCACAAAAGTTATTTTCAGAGTATCTATAAATAATTTGGTAATGTCTGCAAGTCTTGTTATCTGTCTCTCACTGAGATGAAATAGAGTGAAACACAATATTACAACAATGCAAGGATTGCCAGACATAAATTATTTCAAATGATCAAAAGCCGCCACCAATATACAAGTAGTTTTAAACTGAACGGTTTTCTCATATTTTTAGAAATTAACGACCAGATAAAAATCATCGATCCTCTTTTAATCATTTAAATGAATTTGAAAAACTGATCGTTATAATGAAGGCATAATTATAATGAAGCAATAAAACATTCATTAACTCTATTAATTTGTATATGTTTCTGAAATCTTACCATTGTGCTTTTTCCGAGGTAAATAATAGAATTTTATACCTGTGGAAAAGTTAAGAACTTGTAAACATTCCTAAAAACAGAAGGAGATAGCCAGTAAAATCAATTTTTTTTTGTAAACTGGACTTTGTTACTGAACTGATAAGTATTGATCTCTATGTAAACTTTGTCTTGCAGATTTATTTTTTAAAAAGAGAATGACATCTTACCATTTCTGTGTGAGATAATCATTTATTTTAATTTTGACAAAAAATATATTCATACATTTATGCATTTTTAGTTTGTGATAAAAATTACAGTAAAGAAAGAGCTAATTCTAATACATGACGCTACACAATATTTTCACAATTATGTTAAATACTTCACTTATTTATGGTTTTAGTTCACTCCTGTGAGTATATTTGCATCTAGTATGGGAGAGAAGCAAATCTGCATATTCATGTGCAAAAGCAAATATTGCATTTGAAGAGGCTCGTCTACGATGTCTCTTGACGGAACGTAAGTCTTACGTTACTGTTACGCTTCGGGGTACCCATCTCTTATCTGTAACTCCTCTCATACCACCGAATGAAATTTGATGAGACTTTCATAGAATTTTTATTACGTAATGCCCTTGTGCACCTCTTATTTTACTTTTTGATCCGACACATATTTTGGGCTTCCCATAGCAAAACAGGAACTCTGCCATTATATTTATATGGGAGGCGGGGGGGGGGGTATCATTTAGTAAGCTCATTGCTCACAGTACCTCTAGTTTTTAATTTAAAACACACAAAAAGTTAAACCTTTCTTTCAATTTGTCTTGAAATAATGCAAATTTTTCTGATGACAAATATTTTGTTTAAACTTAAAATTGTATATGTCATTCTACCCGGAATATTTATTTACTGTCGTGAGTAGTTGATATCTGTACAAATTTATTGTGCACTTACGACAAATAAGACTGGGACTGGAATAACAAGTCAATGTTTTCGGAATTTGGCGAATACTGACAAGTAACACAATGCTATGGACTTTGAATGAACCTCCTATATATGCCCAAGTAAGAACTGACTACCTTAAAGCTTGTGGAAGTATTGATTAAATTTTTAATGTAAACC